AATGAAAGTCTTTTGGTTTCCCCATAAGGTTAACATTACAACCCAAATCTTTAAAGCGCTTTTTCTCGAATTCAGGTTTTTCGACTTGGGCGATTATTGCTTATGACCACAGATATATGGTATGGACTCATTTGTTGCAACTGGGCATGAATCACTTAACTTTGAAACGATAGTCGTTCAAACGATACTGAAAAAAGGATGTTGTCAAAACACTGATTTATGCATTTGTGTTGCTGTTACGTGTTACTGTTACTGTTACGTGAAGCAAAACTGGAATCGAGTTGACGATATCGCACAAACGATCAAACAATTTTTGATTTTTATGAAGCAAAACAATCTCGACACGATATCGTTCAGACGATTGTCATCATATGTGATTCATGCGCTGGTTTTGATATTCGTAGATGGTTTTAGGCATAGGTTTAGTAGTATAATTTGATAAAAAAGCATAGCGAAAATTTAAAAAAATACTGAAATCATTTTAACTGGGACCGTTGATAACTGATGAACATACATCAATATATGTATGTATAATATGCATATGTATGGATGATATAATAGCTCTGATCCAATACTTTTCGTGTAAAATCCTGGAAAAAGGTCAAACAGCAAAATCACTCTCTGAAGTGAGAGTAAAAAGTGAGTAACAGCAAAACGTACGGAACAAAGAAGCATCGGGTAAAATCCTGCAACTTCAATCTCTACACAACTCTCCCAAAAATCGCTCTCATTTACATGAATCACAGATTATATTCCGAAAAAAAAAACTAAACTTAGGAATATATACAAATAGAAATGCTCAAACTATAAGCTCAAAAACAATAACTGATGCGGTGTTTCCAAGATATTTTAACGCCCTTGAGTCACAAGTATATACAAGTAACATATTTTATCAATCATACCGATAATTTTATGTATTAAAAGAATTAAAAATGAAAACGAATAAAAAAATTAAATCAGCAAAATGAAAAAAATTAAGTGAAATTAATGTTTAATTTCTGACCTAACCTACATTTGTATGTATGTAACTGAATCGCCTAATAATAGCTTTACATATAAAAAGATGATCCTAATTTTCGAGCTTAACTCCCTAAACTGTTACTAGAAAAAAAAATTAGCCATGCAAAATTATAATTAAAAATATCTCAGATTAAACCGATAACTTTTTGGTGTCCAACCTAGTTTTATCGATTATACTTACGAAGAAGAGGAGGAATGTCAAATGTTAAAGTAAACAAAAATTGAAGCTAGTAAGGAAAATAGGTTTGTAAAGGTATTTTTAATAACATATTAGGCTAAAATATATTTAAATGGCATAATATGTGTTGCAGAAAAAAGTGACCACGGTGGCACAGAAAAGAAGTTTAACTCTTCCTCGAGTTGTGTGAATAACAAGCACAACCAATTTGACAGCTAACGAGCTTTGATTGAGATTATATTTATATGTAAACGTACTTTTATGCTTTGCCGTTCGCATATGTCTACATATCAAATTTCATGAGTACCTTGTACTCACGCATTTTTGTTCATATAAGAATTGGAATTTATAAAATCTGGCGTTGATTTTTTATTTTAGTTTTTGCAAACGTGCTTGCGCATTTTGTTCAAATTCATCTTTGTATGGAAAAAAGCCATCAGCAAAAAAGTATCAAAGGTCTATGCGGTATTTAGCCGCGTAAAACTTGAGCCATGTAACTGCATATCCAAGAATTCTGATTAAAAATCCAACATTTTTGTGAAAATTTGTTGCATTTTTCTAGAGCTTGAATAAGTTTGAAAGTGTTAATTAATGTTTTGGATTTGGCTAAAGCATGAAAAATATTTTTATAAAATATGACAAAAAAATTTATGTGAAAAACATTGTATATATTGTACATAAAATCACCACGCACTCAGTTTCAATCGCCAGTGTAGCTTTGTTTTGTTCAAATGATATTGGGCATTTTTATAAGATGAAGCTGTTTAGCTCAAATGCTACGAAACTGCTGGCAACTGTTGGACCCAACAATTAAGTCTTAGAAACGACTTGATGAATATGCTGCGAAATGAGCAGCTGATAAATGTAAACAAATGAAATTGCAATAAATAGAGATAGTTGCGCCGATAGTATTTAGAATTCAACGCTGAGCTGCCGCCGTGTTGAAAAAATCGTTCAATGTTATAATGAATTAAACAGTGTATAATTATATAGTAAACATCTTAAAAACATATATTTAGAAAAGAGGTTTTGGTATAAAATATTTTAGTTACTTTATAACATCAGTAATATAAAATTGAATAAATTTGTTTGCAACTGCCACCTAACAAAGCGGCGTTAAATTTAATGCAAGCGGCGTAAGTCTTTGCGATCAGCTGTTTAAGCTAAGTCCAACACGTTGAGTTGAGCTAGCGTAAAAATTTTGCGCTTGAAAAAATGGCGGAAAGTTGCCAACTGTTGAGCTGAGCGGAACTACTCAACTGTGCGTTTCGAAGACAAACACGAAACGGTATAACAACAGCTACGTCTTAGAAACGCGCCCATTGAATGTTTATTTTCGAACGGTTTTTTGTTCCATAAGCGAATAAATCAATTTTTTGTTGAATGCATTTAGTTTTTCATATGGTTTCCTTCCTCTTGCGTACAACGTCCTCTGCATTATATAGATATTGATTAATTTCCACACTTCCTATACAACTTTCTTTGGTTTCAGATTGAAAATGTCTCTGGATGAACTGAAATAGCAGCGTGTGAACATAAAGAAAAATATTTTGCGCATTAGGAATATCGTTGATACTAGTCTACGACCTGGTGGAAAGGTTCTTTTGAACGCAGAATAAAAATGTCGCTTGGGAATTCTTGAATCCTACTTTAAGCAAGTTCTTTCTATCCAAACTGATATCGAGAAGTTGGATACCGACGACGGAGGACGCGCTGCCATCCAATCGCAGCTAGTTGAGGACTACACTGTGACGTTGACAACACGCATAATGCAGGCGTACTCAAAATTGCCACAACTTAAGCTCCAAACATTTACCGGCAAGTCTATCGGATGTCTGAATTTTATAAATTCATTCAAGCAAATTATTAACCGCGAGCGTTAACGACAGCCGAACCGCTAAGTATGTACCCCTGCAAGAACAGTGACTATCATTTGACAAATCGTTTGAGTGGCAAGACTGTTAGAAATTTCTGTCACTGGCTACCTACAAGTTTCTATCAAATTCTTAAGGGCAGTGTGAAAAATCTGTAGTGCGATTCTGAATCTTATTTTAACCACATTTCACGTTGTTATCTATAGTTAACACCTTTTTTTGGGGTTAAGTGATTGTTTATCAACATTAACCATATTTGTCATTGTTTAGTGTTAACAAACGCAGTCAGCTGTTTGGTGACAATTATTTTTGTGGTTAAGCTAACAGCATCTAGTTTTTCTTTGTTAAGCTGTTGTTTACAAATTTTGCTGTGAAGCTAAATTGAGAAAATTGAGAAAATTGTGAAGATTGTGTTAAAAAATGGCATTTGCATACATTGCATCATTTTTATATGATAACGATAATGAGCAGCCATTAAACGTGCCAAGAATTGAGCGGCGTAGGCTTCGCGAAATCGATAACCCTTTCGAACTAACGTTAACGGAGTTCCGGAGGCTATATAGACTCAGTCCCGGCATGGTTGAAAATTTGGTGTCGCAACTTGACAATCAATTAAGAGGATCGCGAATAACAGCGTTATCGACTGAAAAGCAGGTAAGTCAATATACATGTATTTCAACTTTATTAAATACTATAGGTGCGTTCCAGCAGTAGTACGAATTGCAGGGTCTGAAGGTTTCAAGGATTTACAGAAAAAGCTGCTTTTAACTTTAATAAACCTTATGTGACGTGGAACAGCTTTTTCTGTAAAACGTACAATTGCTATTACCGCTAGAAAGCATCTTGTATAAGCATGTGTTTATGTACTCGTTGAAGGTTCTAGCTGCTCTACGGTTTTATGCCACTGGATGATATCAACGCCCAGTAGGTGAACAGTGGGGCATATCTATGAGCCAAACATCGATAAGCCGTTGCATACACCGTGTGACTGACGCAATCAACAATTCAATGTTCACCTCCAAAGTGAAGTTCCCTATGACGCAACTGGAGTGCCAAGCGGCAAAGGAAATTTTTGCGTCTGCACCTTCACCATTTGTAGCAGGAACTATCGGTGCAATCGACTGCACCCATGTTGCAATTTTGGCTCCCAAAAATAATGAATCAAATTATGTCAATCACCATGGGTACCATTCGATGAACGTGCAAATGGTAAGAACAAATGTACATCATGCAAATTTATATTGTTATTTTATAATGGTTCAAACTTATAGATATGTGATCCAAATCTTAAAATTTTAAACGTGAATGCAAAATTTCCGGGAGCACGACATGATTCGTTTATTTGGAGCTTCTCTGCAGCGCGTCGGCTCATGCAGCGATCATTTGAAACTGGAAATCACAACACGTTTTTGATAGGTAAGTTTTTTTAATTCCATACGAATAGAAATATTAAAAGAAAATAATTTCAGGCGATTCTGGATACCCGCTGGAGCCATGGCTGATGACACCTTTACCAAACGAGCCAGAAGGAACACCAAAGTTTCGCTACAACGAGGCGCTATGTAAAGCACGTAACCCGATCGAGAGACTCTTTGGCGTCCTTAAAGGCACATGGCGGTGCTTATCACGGCAAAGAGTACTTTTGTATGACCCCGGCTTTGCTGGCCGAGTAGTTAACACGTGCGCAACATTGCATAACGGTCGTTTGGGCGATCAACCAACCGATTTTGACGATCGGGTTGTTTATGATCCCGAAATACTAACCACTAATGACGATTCCGCAGCACCTTCTTCAGTAGCGAAACGTGTTCAGCAACGAATTATAGCAAATTTTTTTTTAATATTCGTATAACTTAATATATGCCGTCAACGTTCGTCTCGATGATAGGCCAGCCATCCACCAAGAGACGCAAGTAAGTACCATGATAGCAAATTATATCAACTTATTTATTTTATTTGAGTTCGCTTTTATCATGAATGACTGCCTTTATTTTCTAGATTTGTTCAATGCACGTTAACTAACGCCTTTATTTGTCATCAATTTTTTTTTTCATCTTCCTCTGCACAATAAAATGGGCAACGCTTTTTGCATTATATGTAATGCATATTCAACAAATCAACAGTATTTATTTTTCACGTTCAATGAACATACTTGGCGAGCCGTTAAATGGCACCGCTAAAACTGCGAACTAACCAGCTAAATTTATTGATTTTTATAGCCTCAATGAAAAAGTTCCACACCTGCGCCGGCTTTAGTAGCAATGTATGCACGATTGCTCGTTCATACGAAATCGAACCGGTGGACATTAAAAGGATTCTTGCGTAAGCTATTCGGAAGAAGCAAGCTAGGGCTGTGCAATTAATTGATTATTCAAAACCTTAATTAATATCGTATTAATCATTATCATACTTTAAATGTAATATGTTAATCGAACAACTGATTAACCAACTTGCTCGAGTAATCGAATAATCGCACAACCCTAAAGCAAACCCATATTTCATAATTGTTTACATTTTCATTAGCTCTTATAGAGCAATTGTTGCCCGCTGTTTCCAAGCATCAATACAGCCTATATTGCTGAAAATGTTCCTAAATCTATTACAAAACAACCAACCCAACAGCGCCCTTACACTGTGCGGGCGTTTCGCTGTAAACCAATAAAAAACAATTGAATTTGTGAGTGCCGGTGCTGTTGTGAAGGGTTATTCATGGATACCACAAAAAGAGATACAAAACTACATCAATGCTGTTGGCATAATACTCGCTTCTCTGCCTGAGAAATATTGGAATGCAAATGATCACCATAGGTAAAATTGCGTGTTCTGTTTGGTATTATTTTCAAAGGAATGTGTATACATATTTCACCATTTCAGTGAGCCGCTGATACCTATGTGTCTTCAGTTGGTAATTGCATAGTTACCGCCGCGAGTGCGGTTCACAATGCTCTTTTCCGCATTTTTTTGGCATGGTCGTTTGTTGAACCAGCCCACATAACAGACGCTCATTTGGCAAGTTCTATTTCCGTTGCTTGATAATGTGCGTGCGCTTTCCAGTACGGGAAGCAGTTAGAGGTGCAAAACTATCGATGGCACTATCGATAGTATCGATGTTTTTTATTTTTCCCTACTATCGATTGTTTTTTGGTCCTATCGATACTCCGACAGACATGTGATTCAGTATTTATTTAAGTTTTATTTCTTCTTTTCTTTTCATTTCTCTTAAACATCCAAGCTGAAATAAAAATTTGATTGCTACTTTTTTAAAAGAGTAATGTCAAACTTCGAAATTGACGGAAAACCTTGCATCTTTTAAAATACCGCTAAAAACTGATACAAATTAATTTATACCAAAACTTCCAATATTATATATGAACCACTATTTACTATTTAATAAAAGGTAGATAAAAACCATTACTTCTCAGATAAAAAATGTTTTCTTCTTCTAAAATTGAAATTTACCTGATGAATGCCTTATATACGACGGAGGATATCGAAAACCACAAACATAAAATTTCAGTACGCCAAATTTTATTCCATTTCAATTCATTTCAAATTTTCAATAACTTTACTTCTTACTTAACGGTTCAACAATTAAAAAAAGTGTCCAGCAGTTTACAAGGTTATCGAAACGTAATTTCGGAATATATTCTTAAGGAAATCTTCATACGAAAATTGAGCCAAAACCATATAAATACGATACTATCGACGATATATCGATAGTTTTGAAAATAATATCGAAAACTATCGATGGCCTGACTATCGATAGTTTTGCACCTCTAGAAGCAGTGAAACGGTGGATGGTGCTGCCTTGAGTAAAAATTGTGAAGACTCGCTGGCCGCACTAAAATCGCTGCAAGAAATTATGCATGACAATGCAGACAAATTGGCATCACTTACTAACGAGGAAACAGCGGAAACAAAGATGAGGAATTTGCAGGGTGAGTTGTGTTTAGCGGGAAGTTTAGTACCTTTTTAGATCTCTTATTCATTTCTTGTACGTAGATTGCATGGAATATTTGGCTAAATATCGGCATTGAAAGCACAAAGATCACAACGAAAAACAACCATGCCAAAGAGGAGTTTTATGTGCCTAGTCAGGCATTTTTAACAGCGCTAATACAAATTTTCTAACACATACAACTGCGGGGGTGATACATCATTGAATTCGAATGTCTTCACTGGGCGCTTGGCGGTTACTGCTTTACTACATCGATTCCAATACGTTTTGAAGCGTTTCAATGACGACGAACGGCTGATGGGCGCCGTGCAAGGGCCACAGTAGTTCATTCCGGGGTATTGGTCGTAACTATCAGTGAAGTGCACAGCTGCCAAATGCGCATTAAGTCAATTAAAGAACCAGTTTGATAACAAAGAAGGATCATACCACAACATTACCGGCACCCTGACACTTATTGAATAAGTACCAAATAAGTAAATACATATCGTCACCTGAAATGCAAAAAGACGTAACAACATCGTAAATGAGATTGAAAAAGTCGTGACTAATATTTTAATTATTTTTTTCATAAAATGATGTGGGAAGTTGTAACTCGTTGAAATCCATTATATAAATCAAAGGGTAAATTTTGAATTTTTTATTAGTTATGACTTTTTGCATTTCAACAATGATTTTTGTTTCGTCTTTTTAACCGACTTCCAAAAAAGGAGGAGGTTATCAGTTCGTCGGAATATTTTTTTTTTTTTTTATGTATGTTACCGCATAACTTTGGACCACGTCAACCGATAATTCTTTTTGCATCGGAAAGGTAGTGTCTCAGAGGTGGTCCCAAACTAATCTGGTTGAGATCCGATCAGCGGATCATGAGATATATATATATATATTTTTTTTTATATGGGAGTTGAAGTCGGTTTTTTTTTTGCTAAAAATTACTTGTTGAGTTTCAGGTGACGATATGTTTTTCTACAAATTTAAAGCAAACATATTTTTAATGACTTTACAAATTTTTCACCATTTTATGTAATCTGAATGCATGTAGACATTGAAATAACTGGGTTATCGACATTATAAATTGATTGGAAATATCTACCCGATATTACTTAGAGTGGTCCACGAAATAATAGGAATGCGATATTTTGACTCCTTTTATTTTGTGCACAACTGTTATGTACATGCACAACTGTTATATAATGCATTATTTCAACTCATTTAAAAGTTAAATACGGCATTAATTGTAACTTTTTTGTTGTAAGTTTGTTGTGGAAAGAAAAACTTATTTAACTTTTTATATTTAGAGAAATATAGTGATAACTTGACACACGTAATAAAATTGTTGTTTTGAATCATAACCAAATTACATATTTTCAACTATAAGTACATATTTAAGTTTCACTAGAAAATTTCAGTAGCCGGTAAGAAAACTAATAAAATAAAAGCAAACTATTTAGCCTCAGTATTAACTTTTTTTATTAATTCTTCTTTGATAAAATAAATAATATATGTATATAAAAAAAAACGAAGTTTTTATTAAATTGCCATTTCATTTATTGCAAAAACAGTACAATAAAATTAAATTAGTTAATAATTCTACCAAAGCTAAATGAAAATAAAATAATTCATTAAATAATTAATACGGTGATATTTTTTTTAATATTCGCAATGTTTTTCATGCTATATATTTTTGTGAATTTTTTTGTTTTGTTTAAAGAATGGCTCATATTTTAACAAATGCTATACAAATCCAAGCTTAACACTGTATATGTACATAACTTAGAAGTATTCTGCCAAGTTGCATCCAAATGGCAAGATTTTTAATAAGCATTTCCAAAAAAAGTATGTATCCATCCCAATTTTATTATGATAATGTGCAAATTTGAAATGTCTGAAAATGCGCGTTGTTTTATACTAATTTTTTGCTGTCCTATGCATTTTTTCCATATAAAAAATGTTTGAAAATGCTTTATATGGAAAAAATGCACAGGACAGCAAAAAATTATTAAAAGAACAACCCAAATTTTTAGACATTTGAAATTTGCAAATTATCATAATAAAATTGGGATGCATACATACTTTTTTTGGAAATTCTTATTAAAAATCTTGCGATTTGGATAAAACTTGGCTGAATACTTCTAATTTATGTATACAGTGTGAAACTTAGATTTGTATAGTATTTGTTAAAATATGAGCCATCCTTTGAAAAAAAAACTGAGGAAAAATTTATAGCATAAAAAACATTGCGAATATTAAAAAAAAAGCGTATACTCAAGGCACGAATACTTATCAATAGAAACAAATTCAGAAAACAAGATTCAACTAAGAACAATTCATTTGAAAAACAAAAAAGTAAAAAGGCACCAACAAATAAGTTAATAATAATCTAACTTATTATTAATAACAATATATACATACAGCCCGCGATAAAAGATAGGACATCAAAATTTGTACCAGTTTTGACTACTTTTCTTTGCTTTTTTAAGGTTCATTAATTTTTTGTTAAAGTTAAGCTCCTTAACTAACAAAACCAATATAGGTCCAAATTAGAGACTTTGTAGAAAAATTATAGAAATTGCATACATTTTTCGTCCCAATCTTAAGCATTCTAATTTTAATTTATAGAATAACTTCCACTTTATTATACTCGATTTTAATAAGCTATAAAATTGCATTATTCTAGAAATCAAAATTAAAATGCTTGGAATTGTGAAGAACAGTTTGTGGAATTTTTATAATTTTTGTACAAAGTCTCAAATTTGGACTTATATTGGTTTTGTTAGTTAAGGAGCTTAACTTTAACAAAAAATTAATGAACCTTAAAAAAGCAAAAAAAAAGTATATACACAAACAATTTACATCTATTGGGGAGGGCCCAGTGAATTAGTAAACTGGGCGAAAGCATGCGCACAAGCTTTCACCCCCTCCGCCAACACGGTGAAGGCCTCTGCCATTGTTGCAGTTACGGTAGCCATTCGCTCTGTGGCAGCAGCCATTCTGCATATTGCCTCAGCATTGGAGCGGTTGGCCTCCGCGTTGGTTGCAGCACTTTCAGCAAGCCTCTAAGAAAATAAAAGTTTTATTAATAATTCAATACAAATACAGTCTTGAAAAAAATACCTTTTCTGATTCGGCCTGTGCCTCGGCAATTCTTAAAAATTTCGCCTTTGTTGGCGATTCTTCCGCACGTTTCCGCTTAGCGGTTCTGCGCGGTGTTTGCCTCGGCGTTTTCGGAGTTTCGCACCGAATTTCCGACTCGCCATCCGACACCGTTAGTGGAGGAATTACCATGGTGTCTTCCTCCATGACTAAGCGGAAATTTTCATCCGCCGCCCCCAATGTTAATTGCAGTTCCTAAAAATAGCATAATGAATATTGCAATATGATTAGCATATTGGCATGTGCTTTTAATACGGTACAATTCAACTTACCTCTTCCATTGGAATATTCTCCTGGACATCCGGTTGCCCCTCCATAAAGTTGCTTCCCACTACAGCTATTACCCGCTTCTCCAATTCGTTCAAGGGAGGCTGTTGAAGCGGTATATTCCCCGTCAATGCTTGCTCCCTCTTACGATCACGAACTCGCGTTGATGTTCGACTTTTTAGGTCGCGCCAGACCTTTTGCAAAATAGAAACACACTTTCATACTTTACTATTCTTTGGTGTAGGCCGTTTTCGGAAATGCCTTACTGCAAAGCACCTCTTCTTATACTTAAGTATATAATGATGTCTGATTTCAGCAAACATATTTTTGGAATAAGAGGTGCGATGTTTTGCAGTAATGCATTTCCGGAAATGCTCGTACTTTATCACTTATACTTACATTTTGCCATTACTCCACAGATTTGGCAGCCCCCCCAAGAGAATTCAATTTATCTGCCATCTCTGCCCACTTCTTGGTGTTCTCCAACTTGCCATGGAGCTTCTGGAACTTGCCGCTCGCCACATTCGGGTTTTCACCCAGAAAGTCAAGCATCGCGCTTAACTGCTCCGCCGATGCACGGCTCCTTTTCGTCGGCTGGATAGACATCCTGAAATGAAAGAAGTTCGAGTAAATTCCAATTAATAACTAAAATAACTAAATACTACCTTTTAAAATTGCAATACGTTGCTGGCGCTAAAAATTCCGTTTCCGCGGGAAGGAAATACGTTTTTTTTCTTATTCCTCTTTGTACTTTTCGCATATTTGACATTTATCTCGACTGAGATGCCACATTTCATCATTTTAAATAAAAAGGAATAATCAGCTGTTTTTCGCTGTTAAGCAAGAGTTAGAGAATCACACAATTGTTAGTGCAAACGGCAAAAGTTGTTATGTAAGCTAACAATTTTTGTATTGCTAAGAGTTATAGAATCGCACTACTGATGTAAACATTTGTGTTCATGTGATCTTCCGTCTTCCTCCAACTTATGACCTTATTAATGGTCTCTTTTTAACTAACGCAAAATTTGCAAATGTGTTAGTAAGATAAATGAGAATGTGTTAGTTTCCATCACATAATTCTTGTAGGGACGTTAATTAGTCTACTTCAATAGCAATCCGGTTTGCAGGATTTAGTACGGAGTGCAAAGGAACATACAAATTGTGTGGGTTTGGTGAAAAGTATCTGAGCTGAGCCTGCAACTAACAACCCATGTCCGTGTAACGCTGCCAAGTAGCTCTGTTACCCACTCTGGAAATCTCAAGCCAGCATGTTAAGCATGACTGTGTTTAGATAATGTGTGATGCACTTGTTTGAGGTGGATGTTGCGCGATGTTCGATAGGCAACTTGAAAGAAGTTCGTTCGATCAGTGGGGTAAGATAAACGTAGAAAATGTACAAAAGAGTTGTTTTTGCCACAAACTCTTGACCCGAAAGGCGATCGCCTATTTTATCAAGATTTATTGAAATAAGGTCAACTGAAGGTGTTAGGGGCGAGTGCGGCTTAAATTCTGGCATTTTTCTTTTGTTATTAGAAGTTCATTTGAATTCCGTTTGCCTTTACATAAACAGTTTAAACGGTGAATAGGCGAACTGTGCAAAAGATAAAGTTTAAACGTTTTAGTTAACGGAGTGAATCGAATTTCTTTATAAAATAAGAACCCGCCAATTTGAGGTAAGCGCGATGCAAAAGTGTTTTCTTACATTCGTGTAAGCCAATCAGCCGGTTTCACCAGCAATTTAAATCGAAAAATTATTATTTTTTTATTCTCGTTCAATTTCAATATAATATTCAAAAGATTAAAATCACTTTTTTTCTTGAGTTGCTTTCGTGAAATTGGCTGTATGTATGATATTTGCCCTAAAATGAATGAGCATGGGAAGACATATATGAATATCATTAACATCTCTTTTGGGTGAACCACTGATCTCGAGTTAGGCGATTTTTCGTGTAAAGTAATTTCTCATGGTATTTCCACATAATACGTATTTTTATCTACTAATTAGCCGGATAATTTTAATAAAACAACATAATTGTCAGTGTAAAGTTATTTATTGACATTGTCGTCACTTCAAGTAATTTAACATAAAGTTCCACGGTTTTTGTAGAGAGACTAAAAAGCACGATAATTCAATCATGGGCAAATATCTCAGTAAAACACAAATATTAGTATGTGGAAGGGTAATCGGGGCACGTACTGGTTTCAGGTCCTTGCCCGCGGGAGGCTATCCTTAAGGACCTCGATTTCCGGCAAGAAGGGGTATATGTACGTACATGGATGTACAAAGTACTAGCCACATTCGATACAATTGCAGTGTCAACAAAAAAGGTATATAAGAAATCCACTCGACATACGTATGTACCAGTGAAAGTTGGAAGAGAGCGCGTGAAAGTCACTGGGCCCGCTATTGCAAAATAACTGAGCAACTAGTACTCACCGTCGTTTTCTCTCTCAACTCGCTGTGGCATAGCGAGTAGGCATACGTGGGCGGAAACTTGCCGGTTGGTGATCTTCTCGACATCCGTACCTCATAGCCTGGACTTAGGTCATTTTGCTTGTTTTTGTTTCATTTAGTACACACATCCGTGTAAAAATATTAATTTCTTTTGTACATTTGTTTCGCACTACCCACCTTTAACCTAGTTATACGTAAAGGGCCCCCGCTGGAGCGCACTCACAAACGCATTTATATATATAATTTTTTTTGTTGCAAATAATTTAGGATGTTGTTTTTAAACTAACTAATTCTCTTAAATTAATATTGTTATAGGGTGTGGAATCCTATTTTGATTTTTCATTCGAAGTCACTTACCTTTTTTTTTGTAGATATAGCTAAACTAGCATTTTATCTGATTAAGTTTGTTTTTGTTAGCATTTTTTGAAGACAATGCAGAATGTTGGAAACTTTCTTTGGATTTTTTTTTTGCTACACTGAATTAAGCATTTTTTTTTTGCAAAAATTCTTACAACACTCTTAGTACGCCCTAGACTCTAGTTTTATTCCCGCACTTCACATCCTTTTTCTTTGATTCTTCCACTACTTCTCAATTACCTCTTGTCAATCACTGTTGGTTTTTTTTACTGTTGCTTTATAACTGGATGATAGATTATTTGAGATTCTATTTTTTTATTAAATATTTTATAATCGAATTCAATCGCTTTTGATTCTCACCTGAAATTTTTTTTTTATCATTGAATTGTATCATTCTTTTTTTTTTTTTTTGATTGAACAACTCTTTAATCTCACTTTAACCTTTTTTTCTTTAATGATTCATTCCTTTTCTTTCTCGCGTACACTTTCGTTCACTATTCAATATTGCTTTCTTGATCCGCGGCTTTTTTTGCTAAAGGTTGAATTATTTGATTAATTAAATTTCGCACATGAAGGATTTATTTATTTTTTTTTTGCTTGAAACATAATTTCGCGGACTAGCTAAGGTCATCCGTCGAGTTTAACAGACCGCGTGGTCACTTGTTGCCCACAGCTTCGAATGAGCGCTCCAGCCACATATCAGACTTGGGGTCTTCCAGTTAGATTCTAAGATCCACTCGTATAATGAGTATGTGTATGTATTTTCTAGGGGTCAATTCTTTCCCACAGCCTTTCCAGCTTCCCGGTGTCGATGGTACCAACGCGGAGCGAGAAATTAGGTGAGAGATTTACATGTTTACATATACATATAAATACGTACTTACATATGCAAACATAAATATTACCTTTTTTTTGCAAATACGTAGTTATTGATTTTTGTCTCTTTTGCATGAATGTATCTACGCATATGTTCGTATGCGTAGATACTCATATGCATGATATTAACCCTTGCAATGGTTTAGAAGTTTTCGTTAATGAAACAAAAAGGAGGAATAATTAAGAATTATAAACATAATTATAGATAGATTTTTTTTTTTGATTTAATAACAAAAAAAGGAGGGAAAGAATTGGAAGAAGAAAAGGATTGTAAGAGGAGGAGAACTAGCAGACCGTAGAAATAAGATTTAGGGATTTGTTTGTGGGAAGTAAAGTAAAGCTAAATGATATAAATGTATAGAAAAAAAAACAACATTAGTGAGTAAGAGATTTGAATTAATGAACTAAATAAATGGAAATCAGTTCGGTGTTAATTGAAGTTACAGTCTTTCAGTTAGTAGGTCATAGTGGTATGTAAGTTTACCATGGCTTGCTAGAACTCTATGGTTGGTGTAAGAGGGGTAGCTCTCCAGGAGCAATGGTGCAACACAGGTGAACTATCTCGCTGCTGGGACTAGCTGGACGGACGTCGGACATGACTTGACCAGTCGACGTACGGACTAACGTTAGTATTGGGAGTTCTACTAAAGTATGTGGATTCGAAGTAGAGCTCATGGCTGTTTGGTGTTCAAACAGAGGGGGAGGGCTGACTCCAAGCTGACCGGACGGTTTCTCCTACTTTTCACCTTTCTTATTGTAACAGGCATGAACCCTTATATATTTTTTTATTGTGTAGCAGTGAGCGACGACGAGCTTAGCCCGGGCTTCCAGCATGCCTGGCGCGCCACGACTTCCCATCCACGACTTCAGGCTTCCACAACAAAAATGGCGCCCAACGGTAATAATCCAACACTTTTAGTTTTTCTCGTAATCACTTCAAAACTTTATCTGTTCACGTTTTCTATATCTGGTTATTTCTGCTTTCTTCCTATCTTTCCATGCTTTCTAGTTTCCTTAGTAGTATATTTATGCCTATGCTAGAAGCGCTGCTGCTCCGGTTCCAGAACCGGCATAAGGTTTGCTGCTGCTCCGGTTGCTCAATCGGCGCAAGCTTTGCTGCTCCGCCAAAAGACGTCGCCGATCGAAATCCAAGTTCAGAACTCTGATAAAAGCGGCAAGATGTCGCTGATGATAAATCCGAGTCCAGCACTGGAACCGATCACAGGGTGTACCGCTGATGGAAATCCGAGATATCCGATACAAGGCGGTTTATATATCTAAAATTGGTAAAGTGTGTTGGTATGCAGCCAGAATATATACATGTACAAACGTACATACCCAGAAGAAATTTTAAGCATAAGAAATCGCTGTTGGTGGCGTACCTTAATCATGCACTTGTACTACTGCTGTATGCATATGGCTGTATTAATGTTTCAAACATACAAAAATGGATTAATGGAACAGTATTAAAGCATTCTTACAAGATATGTATCCCCACATGTAAATGCTACTTGTTTGTATGTCCCCGTATATTTAAATGTATCAGAAAAAATGCCTATCTTGTAAAAGCCCGTTTGTGCTGAAAATAGTATCGCACAACAAGTCTGTTCACAAAAATTTTTGTACAAGACTGAAAATATTACAAAAATTCCACTTCAAATGTATCAAGAAATGTACTTAAAACAACGACAACGTACATTCCCTTGCATTTCGCTAGAATTTGAATTTATTCGTGGAAATTCATGACATGAATTGTTCACACTAAGTCACTAGGAGTGTACTCGCACGCCCAACTATCTAAAGTTTTAGAAAACTTTTACTGGTTTTGCGTTCTCGTACCCAAAAAACTTGCAAAGTAGGGGAAATCGAGAGAGCAAAATGTGAAAGAGAGCTTCAAATTTCTGCTGGAAAAAATGTTCCCCGCTAAAACTTGCAAGTAAGAAAATAAGCTGATCACAAACACATGTTTGTAAATAAACAAAAGAAAATATGGCCTTTTTGAGTTATTTATTGCAAATTTTATTATTAATGCTAGTATACAACGAAAAAGTGAGTAAATTTAATATGCACAACGTTTGTTGTGTTTATTTTTCGCTAATTTGCTATTAATCTCCAGTTTATTTACTTTAGTGTGTGCTGACTATGTTGCCGTATGACATTTTTCGTTTGTACCATAATTTACCTTTAAATAAACCAAAATAGATTGAGATGCAGCATGCTGAAATGTTGTTTTGCTGAAGTTTTCGGTTTTGGTATGTTGATTGTTGAAATGAAAATTTTATAATTTAAAAGCTACATTTGTAGCTATATCTATTACATTGTTTTTGGATCAATGTAGGTTGTTTGGAAGATATACTCTTGTTTTTGAATGCGTCACCATGTGATATCACAAATAATTATGAGAAAAATAACTTATTCATTCCGATATAGTTAATTTGTATTTTAAAAAGGTTTTTCTTATCGAAAACTATTCAATTGTGTAAAATGCCAAATCGCGGGAAAACGTACCAAACAGAAAATAAATTGCCAAATTAATCACCAGTGGCAACTGTGCAAGTGATCAGTTGTTTCGAAGGTTGCAAGTTTTTGCAAATTTTGCGTTCTCGTACTTCTGTTGATATTTCGTCTCTTTGAGAGCGAATGCTGCTAGCTTCTCAGAACTTTTGCTGCTGGAGAATTTTGTCCTCTCAATACGAGTACACACCTACTCACATAGCAAGCATTCTTCACGAATGCATACAACCGATTTCTAATGCGTATGTATATATATATGTAGATGCTCCACCCCTAGAAAAGTGTGTTAATAATGTTCACATATGTAGTTAATTATCAAATATTTAATATACATATATATATATACATATATATGAATGGAGAGGTCTGATGTGTTGATGATAACAAATAAAATTTAATTTGAAATGAAATAAATTATAATTATTTATTATTTTGGTAATAAGAATTTTTAACATAAATGTCTGCAATTATATGAATTATAGCTTTGCTGTTGATTATAATTATAGCTAATGTTTTTTCATAAATCCATATATGCTCCAACGTCAGAAATTCATAGTATGTTTATATACGATAGAAATTCGTAAAGTATGCTGACATACATATGTATATACGTATATATATATATGTTCTACAGTTGGAAATATGTGTTACAAATTATACGTTAGAAATGCAGATGCTCCACCGCTATAAAAGTGTTTAAGAATGCTCACATGGGTAATTGCTAAGTATTTAATATGTATGTATATATATATATATGAATGGAAAGGTCTGATGATGTTGATGATGTGAACAAATAAAATTTAATTTGAAATAAAAGAAAGTTGTATAATTACTTATTTATTTTGATAATAAGAATTTTAAACATAAATGTCCGCAGTTATATGAATTATAGCTTTGCTGTTTATTATAGTTATATTTATTGTTTTTTCCTTAATACTTTATTAATTGTTTAGGAGGCTATAAGTTTCCCAAGCTATCGAAATAATCAATCTCATTATCGTTTTCCAGTATTTGAACTATCCAAATTTATTATTACACATTCTCTCTTAAATGGTTTACGTGGTAAAGTGTCACACATGAACACCCCTGTAAAATTTGGAATAAATTTTGAATACTTCTTCAAGTGTACATCAGTAAGAGGTCTTCTACGTAGCTTCATTAAGAGGTTTTTGATATGGTTTTAAATATAATCCGAATCCCTTTTTATAAGGCTTTAAGAATATGTCTTTTCCCATTGAAATAGCTTCCATTGTATTATTATGACGTTCCGCCTCCAATAACTGCTCCTTTCCAGTTTTTATAGCATTGATTGTTTTAAT